CAGCTTTGGAGGTCAGCTGCTTGTATTCTGTCCAGTTCAGAGGAAGGGGTCACATTCAGAGACAGGGATTTGCTGAGAACTACCCTGAGGGTCTCATTTGCAGCTCCAAGAGCTTGCCAGGTACTCCAGTGATTCAGGGACAGAGGTGTCAGGGGTCCTGTGGAGCATGACCACAGCAGGGCAGAATCTGACTCCTGGGACCTCAGCTCTGCCCATCTGCCCATCCTGCAGAAATCTGACCCGAATCCCCTGGCTTCTGCTGCTTCTCATCTCTTTGGGCCTCTTTATGCTTATGTTAGCCACCCTGGTTCAAGGTCAGTCAGGGCAGGGCTCGGAAAGGGGTACAGAATCCTTTTAGGCTGTTTCATTTGTTTGTTCTTTGTGGGTTTGTTTTTTGTCTGTTTTATTTTATTATTTTATCTTTGCACTTGTTAAGCAAGAACTATAGCATGGGACACTAAATTTTTTCCTCTGGATGATCCTTGCCTACGCCCCAAATTCACCAGAGTTAGGACATCTAAACTGCTCATCCCTCATTTCATCTGTGACCACGGGCAGCTGAATGTCCCTCTCTGAAATAGGGCTCATCTTCCCCTTGCAGCTGAACTTGGCATAGCCAGGTACCTTCAGTGCCCATAAGAGGGTGTGTGTGTGTGCTCTTCTCTTTTGCAGTTTCCAGGATTCGTGGATACCCAGAGGGGCAGACCCAGGATCAGCAGGAAAGCTCCAGCGTGGTGAGGGGTAGCTGGGGCTCTGAGCGGGAGAGGACTTTGGGCACAGGCAGGCTGGGTTCGTGGCAGGACAGGAGAGGCCATGGACTGAGGTGGCCATGGCTTGGCAGTGTTGGTCCCAACCGAGTGTGAGAGTCAGTATTCTAGTCTGTAAAGCAGGCTCCTAGGGTCACTGTTATCAACAATGCTGATCTCACGGGTTCAGCTTGGCACCAGGCACACAGTTGGTGCTTAAATGTTGCAAACCTCTCCCTACAGTCGCTGTTCCTCGTGAGCAGACACACTCTGGCTTGGAACAGATCACTGGGTGAGGCTCCAGGACCTGAGTGAGGATGGAGCTGACAGGTCATCAGAAGGGTTGGCATCCACCATCCGGGGCTTCCACTGAGGCAGGCAGGACAGAGCACAGGGACTATGGTCTGAAGTTTGGGAGCAGTGAGTTGATTAAAGAAAAAAAAAAAAACAGGCGTGGTGGTACACACCTTTAATCCCAGCACTCAGAGAGGTAGAGGCAGGCAGATGGCTCTGGATCCGAGGCCAGCCTGGTCTACAAAGGACCACAAAGGCTACACAGAGAAACCCTGTCTCAAGAAAAAAAAAAAAAAATCCTATGTAAAGCCAAATGTAGTAGCATGTGCCTGTAACCCCAACACTTGTATGGCAACATAGGAGCGGGGACAGGAGAATTCCCACAAGCTTGGAGGCCAGCTAGCTTGGGGTACACAGAATTGAACAACAACAACAACAAAACTGTTAAACAATGTAAGAGGTAAAGACCAACGTCCTAGGTCGTCCTTTGAGCTCTACACACACCTACCATGACACACAGCTACATACATTCATATAAATGTGTGGACACGTGTACACTAAGAAAGGCAGTGGTAACCTTGACCTCCAGGCTGATGTCCAGCTATTTCCTCTGAATGGAAAGGAGGAGGAAGTCTTTAAAGATTCAGAAAGTTATAAAATTTAAGAGCCTTCTCCTGTGTGCATATAAACAGTAAAAATTTACAGGGAGAGGTGAGGCCCTTTTGTGGAACAGCCTGCTTCTGGGAGTCATCCCCCATGCTGGGGTGGGATTCTTTTTGTAACACAACTGCCTTTGAGACACCCATAATCCTGCAAGTAACCCCTCACCCATGCTCTAATATTTAACCCCAATAAGCTGATTGATTCATCAAGCTAGACTTGGGTGGGATCCTTTCTCAGATCTGTCATCTTTGCCCTGTCTGGGGAGGATAGGCCTTTGTCGCTGTTTCCCCGGGGAAGAGTCACCCAACAGCCGCTGAGGAAAGGAGCTGAGAAAAGTTCTCACACATCTGAACAGTGACCAGTGGCCAATTTACGCATTTGCCGCTCCCAAAAGACTACCGCCTAAGACCTCACCAACTTGGATGTCCATCCTGACATTTCTGTTTGCTACATGTGCAAAGGATGGCATCCTAGCAACCCTTTCAGAGCATCAGTTGTCTCTTCTACATATGATGACATTTTCTGGCACAGTCACGGACGTCTCTGGATATCACACACAAAAGCTCTGGGCACTAGAAAACACAAGACAGGAAAGTGGAAGCTTTATTACTTTTGCCCTCTCATCCATACTGTTTGTCCAGCATGTTCTTGACATGTGCTGGCACTCTGCATGGGCAAGGCCAGCCACACCTTCCTTACCACAGTGTCTAAGCTACATGCCTAATGAACTATCTGTAATGGTGACAACTGAATGAAAAGAAAAATTCTCAATGTCTACCTAAACGTTTGAGAGAATAGAAATAAAGAATGAAATGGTGTTTGTGTGTGTGTGTGTGTGTGTGTGTGTGTGTGTGTGTGTGTGTGT